AAGAGTAAATTCAATCTTCCAAAAAGAGGCTTTTCTTTCCTCTCTGCTCAGAACTAGCACATTACCTCACATCGGTGTGATTAAGGGGAGATGGTGGGGAAATCAATGAATCATCTGCCCTTGCAGCAAAGCTAACAGAACACCTGATAAAATCTATGTATTTTACAACAGACCCAAAACTCCTGGGCTTCAGACATGGTTTTCTTATATCAAATATAAGGTGCAAAGTGAAAAAATAGATGCTTTAGAAGCAAGAAGAATACAGTATGCTATCCCAGCCATAGATTTTCCCCAACTTCTATTCTCATAACGCATAGAGATAAACCAAAAATGACAAGGAGCAGGAAAGACATAAGAACTTACTTTGCTTTTTGAAAACAGCCAAGAAACAATAGAACTTTTTAGAAGTGAAGAAAAACATTTTTCATAATAGCTAATGTGCCTTCCTTAGGCATTAAGACACATTTCTACTTATAACCTTAATACAACCGTATTTTTACTCTTTATAAAAATCAAGTCTCCCAGTAAAAATGGCATTTCACCCCACTAATCTTTAAATCCCTTCACTAAATTTCTAACCTCTTGGGACATTCTGCACAACAGATGTTAGTCACTGGAATGAATTGCTCAGAAAAGCAGCACTGTTGTGATATGAGTTGGTCGTCAATATCCTTGTCCTCCAGTAAAAGCATTTCATGAGCAGGGACACTGGACTCCGTGTGCTTTCATCGGTCAAGAGAACGTTTCTGAGCAGCTTCTGAGCAAACATTTCTTAACAGGTTGATCACAGATCTGGGGTCTTCACTCCTCATAATGGCACTGCCAGACACAATCATGTTAGCTCCTGCCTGGAAGAAGTAAACACTTAGTTATGCTTCTAAGACAGACACAGGAAAGCCTAAAACAGAATTCCTCGACTCGAGTTTCTACCTTTGCATCTGTCAGTCAGCACTTAAACTGTACAAAAGCCCCTTGGAGATGAACAGATTGAAGAAAAAAGTTAAAATGCTTAACAAATAAGGCTGTAAAATGGTTTTTAAACATGTCTAAGAAGTCACTGACTTTAAAGTAACAAACTCTAAATAAGCTATACTGCATCTTTGCTAATAATTATCTTTAATCCTCAACTCTATTAAGGTTTTTCCAATATATACCAATATCTCCATAGCTACTAAAAAAAACTACCTTTTAATTTTAAATTATGTAGATGAACTGGTGGATAGTCTGAAAGGGCAATGTCGCTAAAATGTGAAGCTATGTATAAAATACGGCAACATTCAATAATTTCTCATTTTGAGGCTAGAAGGAATGAAAAGTCTCACTTAGGCTTCACTGTAGCCAGAATGGCTTTAAGGTGGCTTAAAGAATCTCAAGGTGTTCTTAAATATAAAAATAAAGGAAAGGAAATAATACCCATCAAAATTTAGCTCTGTGCTTCCTAGGATTTGACTTGAGGAGGGAAACCCAATCCATGACGTGATTCATTGCCAAAAGGGGGAACCACTGAAGCTGAAGAAAATTTTCCCAATGAGATGCTGTCACTCTATGATACAGTGTACTTACTACAGGTCTAAGAACATTCCTCATAAAAATGAAAAAAAGAAAAAGTTTCACGTGCTACATCTTTTAATGTAAACAGGAATAGCATAATGGCAAGGAGTAGTTAAGCAAAAAGAATTCCACAGGGAGTCAAAGCATATACGCTCACTGAACATTTGGGCAGCTCCTCTTCCATACTTATCACAGCCCAGCTTTTGACAAGTATTAAGCAGAAAAGTGTGGCATTTATACAAAAAACTAGAAGTGCAGATTAGACAAGGTTGCTTAGTAAGAACAGGCCCCTTCAATCACCTGCAGTACTATAGGAAAGGCTGGCATCCTCTTAATGAAGCTCAGGATCCTAACTCAGCTCAGCTAACTACTCAGAACTCATCCCAGCTCAAGACAGAGGTTTAGGGGTATCCAGAGATCAGATCCACAATTTCAACAAAAATGGCCCTAGTCAGTTCTTACAAGAGACAAACTGATAATAAAAATACCTAAGTTCTACAGAGTAACGATTTTTTCCCTTTATAAGAAGGTATGTTTTCTTTCTCTATTTGGACAAATGACTAATTCCAAGGCCCTAGAACTTAATGATCTTCTAAAGTCTGGCATTCAGTATATTCTTTTTCAAAAGGGAACTTTCTTCAACATTACTGAGATAACCAAACTTAATCTTTAATGATTATGTGATTTTAGAATATTCACTTATTGCTCTTTATTTTCCTATTAGTGCCCCGGTGTACATATTCATGCACCATTGAAAAGAAATTAATTAGAAGGTGGCCGCGGGGCAAGAAGGGCCGGACATGCCCTGGAGCCAACCTCCTGCAGTCCCTCCCTGGCCGGCCACACCTGGGATGCAATATAACTCAAAGGGCATCTGCAGAATGAGGGGGGTCCCTGGCCTGGGGGGATCAGGCCGAAACCAGCTCTCTGACATCCCTCCAAGAGGTCCCAGCGTGCGAGAGGGCACTCTGCAAAGTTGCTGGCGTACAGGGTGTGGAGACTTGAACAAAAATACTTTTCCACCCTAGCTGGCTCAATGGATAGAGCGCTGGCCTATGGACAGAAGGGTCCTGGGTTTGATTCCAGTCAAGGGCATGTACCTTGGCTGCAGGTTCCCCAGCCCTGGTTGGGGTGCAAGCAGGAGGCAACCAATTGATGTGTTTGTCTCACATAAATATTTCTCTCTTTCTCTCCCTCTCCCTCCCGCTATCTCTAAAAATCAATGGAAAAAATATCCTCAGGTGAGGATTAACAAAAAACAAAACAAAACAAAAAAACACCACCACCACACACAAACATTTCCAAGATAGAAAGGTAATTTAGGAAATGTAAAGGAAATCTCTTTGGCCCACAAGACAATGACCTGCACATAACATCTGGCAGGAAAATGGTCTAGGTAACAGTTGAGGCAGTGTCTCACCTCTGCACATTTATGGATAGTGTCAGGACCTACTCCACCATCGACCTCTATGTCCAAAGATGGGAACTGGGTCCGCAACCAGTGAACCTAGATATACACAAGGAAATAAGTGACTCCTAAAGTAGATAAGATGGGGATGGGGACACAACCAAAAAAAAACAAACAAAAAACTTCAAACAGCCAATATCACCCACTAAAATAGGACTCCAAATGTCTCACACAGTAACTTCATAACAATACAAACTATGACTGGGGAAAACTTCCCTTTTAATATACTGAAACAAGTTAAGTTTCCCAAAAGCAAGCTTTGTTCTTTTTGGCAAGCGGCATTAAATTTGTCATGGCTTTTCAGAGAACATACTTCATGGTAAAAAGACAAAACCCTCAATATTCAATGAAAACTCCCAAAAGCTCTAAAGCAGTGGTTCTCAACCTTCCTAATACCACAACCCTGTAATACAGTTCCTCAAGTTGTGGTGACCCCCAATTTCATTGTTACATATTGAACATAATTAAAGCATAGTGATTAATCACAAAAACAATCTGTAATTATATATGTGTTTTCCGATGGTCTTAGACGACCCCTGTGAAAGGGTTGTTCGACCCCCAAAGGGGTCACGACCCACAGGTTGAGAACCGCTGCTCTAAAGGCTATAGAAATAATGGTTTTGGAAGAAAATTTCAAGATTAAAATGTAGTATCTTTTCTGATTTCCAGACCTAAATCTTTTACAACATTTGTCATAATGTATTAAGTAATCTGTAGGCATTTCCATGTCCCCACCTTCAGAACAGGGCATATACAAGTGATTTAATATATACTTATTGAATGAGCACTCATAAGAGCTTCACCCCAGAATCAAATCCTTTTTTTACCTTTGGCATCATATCTTCCATGAATTTCTGCCCTCCAAACCCAGGTTCCACTGTCATAACCAAGGCCATATCTATTTGATTAGCCCACGGTGCCAAATACTCAACTGTAGTTCCTGGTTTGATGGCAAGACCAACCTGTGACAGAGACAAATGTGCTAAATCACATTAACAATCACTTCCACATTACATTTATTACTGTGGCATATCAGGGCCAGTAGAAATACCTATTCTCAAAAAAGGAGAATACATACATAAATGGAATGGGTAAATTGTTCGGACTCTATAATTATTTAAAAAGTCAACTAGGCTATTAAATGTAAATGTTTCTAAAAAAGCAGTCATAATCAGAAGAATTATTACACATTATTTTACTGAAACAAAAAACAAGTTATACTTAATACACTGACTTCCCAATGAAGAATAGCTGCCTAAGTCTGGTCTTAGAAATGTAAGAAATGCCTTCCACCAAATCTTCCCAACTCTGAGCGTGAGTAGTATAAAACATTACTGTCATGGCTGACCGCTCACCTTCATCCCATTCTCCCGAATGTCTTTAATCAAAGCCCCTGGGTTCTCAGTAGCCTCGAGATGAAAGGTATACTGATTAGCTCCTGCTACTGCCATTGGCTTTACCCACTGTTCGGGCCTCGACACCATCATGTGCATGTCTAGAAAGAAAAGACACGTCTCTTAAATATTACTGAAAGGAAAATACCTGGCTCATACTACTGAAGCCAACCTGTAGTTTTCCCCATTTTGTATACATACTCTTCTGACATCACAATGATTTTTAAATAATTACACTTCTGTATAAATAGCCTCCTTTTATCCTGAAGATCAGGTTTTGGTTAAACTCATTCACACACACACCCACAAACACACATTTTTGTACAATAAGTATCTGTTGCTGTATATGGAGAGTAATGACTAGAAATCAGGAAACCTAGGTCCAGGTCTAGTAAATATGACTCAAAAACACCCGTTTTAAAAAGTCATTATCTGTGAAAACTTTCTTCATTTATAAAATAAGAAAGCTAAATTAAGTGATTCTCTTCACCAATATTTTACTGAGCACTTACTGCACCATTAACTATTTTAAGGCCCTAGGGATCGAGCAAAATGACAAACAAAAATCTGCTGTCATGAGGATTACATTCTTAGTAGGAGAGACAAACCATAAAAAAAAATAAGTAAATACAATACACACTAGGATGACAATTAACAAAGCCAGTGTGGCTGGGGTGTGGAGCAATGGGGAGAGTAAATGAGGTCAGAGAGGCATGGGGTGAGGAGACAGCACTGAGCTCTGCAGGCCATTAGGTTTTATTCCAAATGAGATGATAAAAACACCACTGGATTTTAAGTGAGGATGTGACAAAATCTGATTTAGAAAGCCATGGCAATAACCCAGGTGAGAAAGGATGACGGTAATAACTGAGGATGTTGGGAAGTGGTGGGATTTTGGGTATGTCCTGAACATAGAGCCAACAGGAGTTGCTGTGGATTCCAGTTTGGACAGTGAGAGGAGAGGCAGAATGGTGCAAGGATTGGGGCTGGAGTAACCAGAACAGAACTCCATTAACTGAGAGGCAAAATTGCAGGAGGAAGCATGAATTGGAAGGGAAGGACATAAAAGAAGTCTGACATGCATCGTAATTCTGAAGCTTGAATCATATAAATATTATATTAAGTAAAACAGGTCTAACCTTCTTAAATATCTTGACTTGTAACTTAATAGCATTTAATAAGAAAAAGGCAGGTTAAAAGAGGCTAAATCAAGAAATAATCATTGTGAAGAAGAAAACAATAAATACATACCCCTGTGCAGGATTGATGGTAGTGAGAAGACCTTTGAGTTTTTTGTTTTGCTAAAGGAAGCACATTTTTGACATAGCTTAACTTATTAAAGAAAAAAATCCTAGTATTCCAGAAGTCAAGTAAGATTATGAAATGCACTAAGGCTTTGAAAAACTGTCAGGAAGAGTATACCACTTGACTAATGACACAAAGATTCAAGTTTATATTTCTAAACAAAAGGAAGAAAAAATAGAACACATCTTAATAGATAACACACAGTTTTTAAAAGACAGACTCTATTTGGTATTTCTTATTTCTCTGTATTATAAACAAGGAAAATTCAATCTAGTTTAAAATATCTGGTTTACTCATTCCCTAAGTTACCAGACTGCTACGTCATTCCATTTCTCCCATGCAGTAACCACTAGCAGCGCTCACTGGAGACTCTAGCATTCAGGGAGTCAGTGGTTCAGTGAATCGGCCTGTAGTTAAACACACCGAGATGAGCAGTTCCCAAATGTTCTATTATCAGGTTCCCTTTACACTCTTAAAATTTCTGAAGGCCCCCAAAAGCACTGCTGATGTTGGTTATATTTACCTGTATTTAATGTATTAGAAATTCAAATTAAGAAAATGTTGACCAGCCACTGTGACTCAATGGTTGAGCTTTGACCTATAAAACCAGGACATCACAGTTCGATTCCCAGTCAGGGCACATGCCTGGGTTGTAGCCTCATGCAGGAGGCAGCCGACTGGTGGTTCTCTCTCATCACTGATGTTTCTGTTTCTCTCTCCCTCTCCTTTCCTCGCTGGAATCAATAAAAAATATATTTAATAAAAAGGAAAAGAAAGAAAATGTTTATGTCTACTTATCAATTCATTTAAAAATAAGCAATAATAAATTTATGATGTTAAGAGTGGTATTATTTTACATTTTTGCAAGTCTCTAACATCTGGCTTAACAGAAGACATCTGTATTCTTACATCTGCTCTACATTCACTCTGTTACAATATGTTGTTTTATATGAAGAAAAGTACATAAAAAAGGGAGGCGTACATTAATAGCCTTTTCAGACAAGTGTGGATATTCTACTTCTACACCCAAATTCAGCAAGTGGTTACTTTTAAGAAGGTTGGCTGAAATGTGGAATCTGTAAACCCTACCAGTGACCTTTTCTACTTTGTTGCACTAACACCTGTTGGTCTATCTTATCATTTGAGTGGATCTTTTAAGTACTGGTTCACTGAACTGCACAGATCTTCTAAATAAGATACATTTCATTATATGCTATAGAAAAGAGCACATTTATTACATCACAACAGACCTCATCACTACAAAAAAGCTCTTAGTAGTAGGAATTAGTCAAGCTCATAGCAGCAGATACATGTTTATCAAAATTCTAATTTTCACTTGAAAGCTCTAACTTTATCAGGGAGCAACAAAAGCTAATACGGTCTTTTCCTTGAAGTGACAGGCTAACTTAGATAATTTTTTTAAAAATGTCAGTAAAATACCAAGTCTGATAACCACAGTTCAATCTGTCAGTTGTTCTTTCACATGAAAATGGTGCTCATAACAAAAGCAGACAGTTCAGTCACAACAGAAACATGGCCTAAGAGGTTTTCCTTGAGAAAACCATCACACTCCAGCATGCAGCAGAGGCGCCTTATATGTACATTCTACTATGTCACACAAAATATTAAGAAGACATGCATTCAAGGATCAGGATTTACTAAAATTAATAATTTGCACTACCTCATTACAGATACTATGAACACATATATCACGATGAAGAATGTTAATGACTAGTTGTAGAGTTGAATACCACTGCCTTGACTCGAGCTAAGGCAGTAGCAGACTAACTCACCATTGCTTCTGCATCCTCAGAACAAATATGGCAAATAATACTATACTATAAAGATAGTTATGATCTCATGCACAACTGAAAGGGATTCCCATGGGCCCTCAGACCAAACTTGAAGACCACTGACCTGGATAATAGCAAAAAACAGACTTTTCCCTACCACTTTATTCCTTAAATGGTTATTCATCCCCAGTATTAAGATGAAACAATTAAGAACTCTAGCAGTTATACATACAACTTGTGGTTTAGTTCCTAGAATATATTCAGGTGTCAATTATCCAATAGCCAAGATCCAAGAATTAAATGAAACATACTTCTTAATTAAAAAAAGATCACAAAATGCAACATTAAAGCAGAGAGAGTCCATTCTTCTTTATTTTAGACCCAATTCTAGAAAGGTTAATTAGTGACTTTATCAGCAAGTAAACTAAGACAGGAAGAAAAAGCGGATTGTATGTGGTGGTGGCAGTAGGGTTGGTAAGAGGAGAAGCACTTACAGTAGGACACACAAACAGCAGTGAGAAGTGACACTAGGAGCCCAAATAAAAGAGAAAAGGGAAAAAATAAAAGAATTTTTAAAAATCCATACACAAAGCTGAAACAGAGGACTCTGTGGCCACTATATAGGGGGACAAACAAGGCTACTTATTTCATCCACCTCTGATAGTCAGAAGAGCAAATTTACATTGGAAAATTCTATTATTTGGAAATTGCAAAATGGCGAACATGTTGATGGAACACTGTTTTCCTCTTGCCACATAAATAGGTGATACTGTACATTTTCTTTGGTTCACTCAAAGTGGATGGATACTACAGAGAGGCTCTGTCCAACAGCACTTTCTACAATGATGGCTATGTTCCATAGTGGTATCATACAATACAGTCACTAGCCACGTGTGCCTGAGAACGTGCAATATGGTTAATACCGAGAAACTTACGTACAAGAGATTTGGCAAGTGAGGTACTGCTAGCTTAGTTTAAAAGAGCAGCAACAATATATGGGCTGAATTCATTTTCCATTAGAAGTAACTTCTAGGTTACTGTGTGATCTTATAAACCTTAATTCACAATATCCTACAGCATTGAAGTGGGAACATATATAAGCCTCACTTGCAGAAAGTTCCAATTTGCATGAAATAATTGGCTCCATTTCTAGACCATAAAAATCAATCCATCCATAAATTCACTTAACATTACACTGAGCCCCAATCTTGTTTCTATGCTTAGCTCTAGGAAATTGCTACAATCAAGGAATTTACAGTCTAATAAAAATAACCTCAGATTAAAGGAAGTTCTAAGAAGAATATCCAGAAGCTGATATAACTGGATAAGTGTTACCTTAAGATAGGGTGCTTAGAAAGGCCTCTCTGAGGAAATGAGAAATGATCCAAGGCCAAAAGATGAGGCAGACCTAGACAAGTGAATAGCTTTCCAGGCAAGAAATTAGCAAAAGTCCCAAGGCCCTGAGACAGGCAAGAGTTTGGCTTATTATAGGCAGCCAATGAAGCCCCAGCACAGATAGGGGGAAAGGGGTTCTAGATGAAACTGAAAGCTGAGAAATCAACCACCTTTTCCTTTACGTGAGCAACACATGAGCTTCAGATGGCATTACACCCACTTACCAAAGAAAGGGTCCTGGCCTAGCTGCTTTCGGAGGCTTTCTACCACGGGGTGACCAAAGGTGATGTTGGGAACAAAATGCCTACAAGACAAACAAAATCTTACTCTGAAAATATTTTCAATATGTATTCTGATGGGGGTAGAGGGGAATGTCTGTGATTATACTATTTTTCAATTTAATACTTAACGTCATCAGTATTAAACAATACTAAAATTATCTGGATTTACAAAGCAGTATCTCCTTGATATTTGAAATCATAATAATGTTAAATAATGATTTAACTCTGTAATTCATAATCCCAGACGGGTAGAACTAGAAAGATGACAAAATCAAAACCCAGAAGTTATATGACTTGCCCAAGTCATATACAGTGGAAGCTCTCGAAGTTAATTCATCCTTGAAGGCTGTTTGAAAACGGAGTCATTTTTTCCCATTAGGAATAATGTAAATTGAATTAATCCATTCCAGACCCCAAATGATTCCGTTTTAACCTTTCTCATATACAGTACCTGTCTACTGTACTGTTTAACCTATAAATCAGCGGTTCTCAACCTGTGGGTCGCGAACAATGAAAATACATCCTGCATATCAGATATTTACATTACGATTCATAACAGTAGAAAAATTACAGTTATGAAGTAGCAACAAAAATAATTTTATGGTTGGGGGTCACCACAACATGAGGAACTGTATGAAAGGGTCCTGGCATTAGGAAGGTTGAGAACTGCAAACACTTTAATAACAAAAAGGACATTAAATGTAAATGAAAATTTAACAAAAAGGAAAGAAAATATACAGTAAAAAAATGAAAATTTAGCAATAATTATAAGCAGCAACAAAAGCAAAAACAAAACAAAACAAAAAACCACACGAAAATATCCACAGAATATCCTGAGGTTTTAACAGTGGTAAACTGACTCATATTTGCCCATTCTTTCCTTTATTTGTCACCTCAGATGCATGACTGATCATACAGGTTTCATGAAAGGGTTGTCAGGTGGAGCAGTAAATTGTTCCAGATGGGAAATGTTTAAGAAAAAGTCCCTCTGTACTAGTTAGAAAGTTCTGGACTGTAATATGGATCTTTCATATCCTACTTTGTTATAGGCTGGTTGAGGCTACTTTTAATCCTGTACCACAGGGCACTAAATGACAGTTTATTTAAACTTTCAACCTTATGAAATAAACATGCTATATGAAAAACATAGAATAAATAACTTCCTTAAGTCACCAATTAATTATTTGTGGGGCAAGAGTCAAAGTAAGTTTTCCAAGTATCAGACCCAAAGAACTTAACCATCCTCCTACTCCTGTTAGTCCTTGAGTTCTATTAAGCACCATGCTGGTTGCTTTATAGTACTGTATTTTATAAAAAAAATACATGTAAGAGTCCCTGCCTAGCCCAGAAAATGCTACAATCTCATTGGCAAGAGATGCCTAACAACTCACCAGAATTCATGACCTACTGTTATTGGGTAGTTGATAGGAAGCCAATGCAGACAACCAAGGACCACATTTCCCATCTCCCTTTACATCCAGTTGGCCCATATGACTAGTCTTCACCAGTGGACTGTGAGCTTAAGTTATGTGTGTCTGCAGAGCTTAATAGGTTAAATAGTATTCCTTTTCTGTGCTCATTTTACCCTTCTGCCAGTAAAGAAGCCCTTAAGGAATAAAAAAGCCACGGGATAAACAGTCTATGGCCGGCTCTTGGAACAGACTGTCCAATCTCAGTGGGAAGGTGGGGGTGGGTGGGAAGAGATCAATCAAAGAACTTGTATCCATATATACATAATCCATGGACACAGACAATAGGGTGAATGAAGGCCTGGAGCGGGAGCAGGGGTGGCCTAGAAGGAGGCAAAGTGGGAAGAAAGGGGACATATGCAACACTTTCAACACTAAAGATTTAAAAAAACGTCTCTGCCACTGAACTTTATCATGGAAGGACATTCACACTGAATTGTTACATGAATGAGAAATAAACTTGATAATGTGAAGCCACTGGAATATAGGCTTTATTTGTTAAAAGTAATAGGTATTACCCTATATAAGGATTGCAAGAAAAGCTAAACAATAACAAGTAGACAACTATGAGGTAAAACCGGTTCCAGAGGCAAGGAGTATAGCATTTTACAAGAGGGGGGGAAGGGAGAAGATCGTGAGATTTACAGAACAGAATTTTAAAGGTGGAAAAATAAATGAAGCAAAGGCAGAAATAAACAAGTTATGCTCAAAGAAGGAGGAAGATGGTGTTTACCAGATTGGTTAGTGTGAAAAAGGCAGGAAACCGACTGTGTCACAGTAAGGGTATCAAATGCTGGGCTCAGTATTAAGATTTCATCCTGCTGCCCTAGCTGGTTTGGCTCGGTGGATAGAGCATCAGCTTGTGGACTGAAGGGTCCCAGGTTTGATTTCAGTCAAGGGCACATGCCTGGGTTGCGGGCTCGATACCCAGTGGGGGGCGTGCAGGAGGCAGCAGATCAATGATTCTCTCTCATCATTGATATTTCTAACTCTCTCTCCCTCTTCCTTCCTCTCTAAAATCAATAAAAATATATGTAAAAAAAAGATTTCATCCTGCTGTAAATATGAAATGAGGTTTTAAAATAAAAAGCAAATAAAAATAAGATGCAAATAAAAAAATAGGAAGGGACTGGGGACTAAATTGGAAGAAGGGAGGTAATAGGTGTAGGCAAGTAACAAGGAACAATAACAGAAACAAAAACAGGTAAAGGATTTGTTAACTGGTTAAGATGGGGGTGTGGTGGAGAGAATACACCATGGTTAAGATTTTAAGTTTAGATGACCAGCTGAATGAGTGTTAAACTGAGATTTTAACAGTTTAAACTTGTATGGACCAGGCACCATTCTAAGCACTTTCCATGTGTTAACTCATTAAAACGTACAAGTCTAAGAGGTAGATACATTATCTGTATTTTATTGAAGAGGAAAAGAGGCCGAAGGTCATACAACCAGGTAGTGCTGGAGGCAAGCGTTAAAGGCAGGCAACCTGGCTCCAAAGTTCAAGCTCTTTACAGTCTCACCTGCCCCTCCACCAACAAACTAATAACGAACAGGAAAAGCAAATCCAGGTGAGGAAAGATAAGAGGGAGAGGTGAGGGTTCAGGACACATCTGAGAGGGGCTGGTGAGATGGATGGGTACAGACACGTTCACTCACACTCCTTGGTCCTTGGTGGTTGGGGTTTTAGCATTTAGGAAGTCATCTAACATTTGCCTAAGAGCAACCATTGCTAGGGTTATGCCTAAGAGGCTTATTATGTTTACTTACAACTTGGAAGTAAGGGTCAGAGAAGGAGGCAGTGAGGCTTAATGAATATTATACAACTCTGGAATTGAAAGATTTGTATTTCGTTCACTGTCTGGCCTTGGAAACACAGGCATACCTTGTTTTATTGCACCTCAGAGGTGTGTTTTTTGTTGGTGGTGTTTTTACACAAACTGAAGGCAAGACCCCCACCAGTAAAAAGATAACGAGGACTTGCTTTATTGCAATCCTCACTTTATTACAGTGGTCTGGAATGGAACTCAATATCTCCGAGGTATGCCTGTACATTTGTTGTCTCAAATTTAGGTTTCATTTTATCATGAAAATAAGCATCACATCTTGAGAAAATATGAGAATGAAACAAATATACTTTTACTTCATTGAGAAACAGAAGCAGACGGTATAAAACTACTGACCCCCAAATTATATGACAAATTGTGCTACTGAAGATCAATTAAATGCACCACGTTCACCAAGTACACTGGGAAAACAAAAATGCACCAATACCCTAAGAAACCAAAGGCTTATAGCTAAACCATAACAAAAAAAAGGCTACAAACGCAAACATGAATTCAAGGTGACCCAAAATTTGCTTGACAACAGTAACCAGGTGAACACTTACAACAAAAGGATTTATATAGGCTCTATTCCAAGCCTACTGACACCAAAGAGGGGCTGGAAATCTGAATTCTTAAGTGCACAGGGAGCTCTTATCAGACCAGCTTGGAAAACACTAACTATTCCACTCTAATGAAGAAAATTTTATCAAGAAAGTCTGCTTCATTATTACATTACGGTCTTTTTTTCCTTGAGAGTACTTTTGGGAGTAAAGTCTGCAAAAAATAAAATTCAATAAAATAGTCTTTTCCCCCGGAAAACTACTGAAATTAAACTATAATTATTTACTGTAACACAAGGATACAATTATTTTAGCTCATCATGTTCCATCAACCAACCCTAAGCTTTGTTTACAAAGGTCATGCAATATATTTTAGACATATCAAACCTTTACCAGAACTCTCAAAAAAGCAAAGATGATAACTTTGATATAAAATGTCAAAGACTAACCAGAAAATAATTCCTGTGAACCAGGAATCACAAACTCATATGCTTACAAGGACTAGCAGGTAACATGGAGAAGCAAAACAGTGAATAAAGAACACCTGGCCTGACTAATGGTGGCTGCCATTCATCTCCAACCTATCGGGGCCTTTTGAGACTGGACCAGTACTGGCAAACCTTTGGATGCTTTTCAAAAGTCAGATTTTTAGTATTAATATGAAACCTCCCCAATTTTAAATTCTGCTAATTAACTTAGAAATTGCTTATTTGCAACCTAGCTGGTTTGGCTCAGTGGATAGAGCATCAGCCTGCGGACCAATGGGACCCGGGTTGGAATCCAGTCAAGGACATGTACCTTGGTTGCAGGCTCCTCCCTGGCCCGGGCCCTGGTTGGGGCGCATGCAGGAGGCAACCAATCCATGAGTTTCTCTCACATCGATGTTTCTGTCTTTCCCTCTCTCTAAGACAGCAGTTCTCAACCTGTGAGTCGCGACCCCTTTGGGGGTCAAATGACCCTTTCACAGGGGTCACCTAAGACCATCTGAAAACACATATATAATTACATATTGTTTTTGTGATTAATCACTATGCTTTAATTATGTTCAATTTGTAACAATGAAATTGGGGGTCACTACAACATGAGGAACTGTATTAAAGGGTCCCGGCATTAGGAAGGTTGAGAACCACTGCTCTAGGAGATCAATGGGAAAGTATCCTCAAATGAAGATTAACAAAAAAAAAGAAAGAAAGAAATTGCTTATTTGCTCTGTTTCCACACGTAGGACCAACACATTTCCAGTTACCATCCTGTCATGATGAATTTATATGTGTTCTAACTTTCTTTTCCTCTTGTCCTTTATTTCAAATATCTAACCATACCAGTGCCCCAACTCCCACCAGGTTTCCAGAACTTGTTTCTGACTTTCAAGATGAAGACATTCAGTTTAATCAGAAGAGAAATGGAGTCTTAGTGGGAGAGTGGGGGGACGAGAAAAGAACGAACACACCCAAACTCAGTGTAATGTTGGAGAATTTCAAAGGGAGCCAGGAGAGAAAAGCATGGAAACAGTACCCGAGGGAAGGAAACTATGGTTGGCCACCCTGGGTAAGAATCCACCAGCACCCCCACCCCCATCTTTTCATGTCCCTGGCCTAGGGGACACTGACGCTCAGCCTGACTTTACCTCTTCTGGTGGGACAGTCAGGAAGGGGCTGAACCTGCTTAAACTGGTCTCCCCCTTTGTAATAGGGTAATAGGAATAGTAGCTGTTAGCTCGAAAAGGGGTGAAGCTTAAAAGGGAAAGGTTTTTAAGTGGTGTGTGCAGAATTTAGTTCTTTCATACTAACATGTTTCTTGCAGGGGGGGAGAAGGGTCAATAAAAAACAAATACTTTTATCTTCATCTTGGGATTATGATACAGTCTTTCATTTATTGGATCAACTATAACTAAGCTTGTTATGGTGCTTTACCCAAAACGAATAGAGTTGAACCAGAAAGACAGATTCTGTTATCAGGGAGCTTACAGCGTAGCAGGAGAGATGAAATGGGAACAAAAGCAGTGTATAAATTATCAGTTGCTCTGTAAGGAGGGAGAATGTCTTAGCCATCCTCTGTAAGCCCACAACCCACAGAAGACATGTATTTCTGAGACAACACGGCGTTTGCCTGCTCCCCATCCTGGCTCCACCGTTTCCTAGCTAGGACACCCCTGAGAGTGACTTGATCTCTTCGCATTTGCACTGTCAAAAGCTGGTGCTGATGACAGCACCCACCTCTTAAAAGTGTCGTGAGTGCCCTAACCGCCTTGGCTCAGTGGATAGAGCGTCGGCCTGCGGACTGAAGGGTCCACGTTCGATTCCGGTCAAGGGCATGTGCCTTGGCTGCGGGCACATCCCCAGTGGAGGATGTGCAGGAGGCAGCTGATCGATGTTTCTCTCTCATTGAATTTTCTAACTCTCTATCCCTCTCCCTTCCTCTCTGTAAAAAATCAATAAAATATATTTTTTAAAAAAGTGGCATGAGTTAATTCCAAAAAGCACCACCGGGACAGAAATAGCTAAGAGCTATTGTTATTATTAATATTCCCAGTTTTGGTGAACACGACTTATGCAAAGCCAAACTGTTCTCTGTGTCTGATAGGCTACCTACACATCCATGCAGCCTGCTCCATCCTGAGACCCCTGGGTGTCTCTGACACAAAAACGTGGCTACACGCCGTTCAGTGTATCACCTGTGAAAGTTCAGGGCTTTCGAGCAAAGCGGTCCAAAAAAAAAAAAAAAAAAGACAGAAGTTGAATGACATACGATAGCAAACTAAAAATCAAGCTTTTGCGAGAAGCGATATTTACTAATTTTCTTAAACTCTGAGCCTGGAGTTCCGGGGTACTCGAAGGTCAAGATTTTGCCATTCGCAGGGGGTCAAACCAGGAAGGTAGAAGGGAAAGGGAAGCTACGCATTTAACCACGCAAAGGAAGACAAAACTCTTAACAGAGGAGCGGCGTTAAACACAGAAGTAACGGATCCTCTATCGTCAATAACACAACTTGCAAACGTGCATGGGGGCACGCAGGGGTTTTGCCCACATGGAACACAGGCGTCCGGACCCCGGGCCTCGGGGAGGCGGTTGGGATCGCACATCCGCGGGGCGAACCCAAGGAGAGAGATCCGAGCTGCACCCAGAGAGCGTCTCACCGCCTCGTCCAGGTTTGTTCCTCATTTTATTCTCAAATTAAGAAACCAGCACCTTCCTGGCTGCAAACAGTACCAGGTGCTGTAATCACCGTGCTTTAAAAAAAACTTAAAAAAAAACCCCAACAACAACAACAAAAACAAACGGGCCCCCCGGAGTGCAGGGTCCCTGGAAACAGACCGCAAAGTCACGATTGGAACCGCGATACAACCAACCATCACGAATCTACGACAGGCCGGGCGCCGTGAACTTGAACCCGCGCCGCCGCCTCGTTCCATCTTCTCCCGAAGATGACGACGAGGCGGCAGGTCCGACTCCGACTCGCATTTTTTCACGCAGCGACTCCAGCTCCACCAGGTGAGAGGGCGAGTCCGGGGGCCCCGGGCGGCAGCACTCGGGCCCTCGCTCCGGGTGTCCGGGGGTGGAGCCCCCGGTGTGGCCACCAACCCGCCTCGCTCCGGGTGCCCGGGGGTGGAGCCCCCGGCGTGGCCACCAACCCCCCACGTGATATGAACTTGGGCAAGTCATGCCTACCCCTCGGGCCTCAGTTTCCCTCACCGAACCTGAGAGCGGAGTCCTGGAGGTGGAGGTCGCTTCCG